TCCCGTACAGGCCTGATTTTTTTCAGGTCTGATTTTCGCTATTGCTTAAATAGCGCTATCTACTGCGAGGATCGTGCATCATATGTATCTAATACCGCAGTACAAAATATATGAACTTCATATATTTCATTGTATCTCATTTATCACTTTCACGGGTTTATTACGAATCAACTTAACGGCCTGCTCCCAGTTGGCTTGTTAGCTCAATTGGTAGAGCGCTGCACTAGTATCGCAGAGGTCAGTGGTTCGAGTCCCGTACAGGCCTGATTTTTTTCAGGTCTGATTTTCGCTATTGCTTAAATAGCGCTATCTACTGCGAGGATCGTGCATCATATGTATCTAATACCGCAGTACAAAATATATGAACTTCATATATTTCATTGTATCTCATTTATCACTTTCACGGGTTTATTACGAATCAACTTAACGGCCTGCTCCCAGTTGGCTTGTTAGCTCAATTGGTAGAGCGCTGCACTAGTATCGCAGAGGTCAGTGGTTCGAGTCCCGTACAGGCCTGATTTTTTTCAGGTCTGATTTTCGCTATTGCTTATATAGCGCTATCTACTGCGAGGATCGTGCATCATATGTATCTAATACCGCAGTACAAAATATATGAACTTCATATATTTCATTGTATCTTATGTAAGCTATGAAGCTTCTGTCCTTATACTTCAGACCAGTTCCGTTTACTTGTTGTAAACGACAATTCAGATCATAAATCTATGATCCTATCGCTGAAATTTATTTTTAGGATGTCTCAGTGTAAAAGGAAAAGACCTAGTTCACGGATAATAGTTATGTAATTGGAGGTGCGCGCCTTTGATTTTGCATTTCTTACCGTTTGACCCCCTTATGTTCTCCTGTTAGGTAAATTCATTACATTCGCCCGCCACGGGTTTGAAGAACACAACAATTTCCGCGCTCTTCACCATGTCGCACCCCTCAAGTGGTCAGACAAGTTAGCCATACAGGCTCAAAAACTCGCCTATAAAATGGCGCTCAAAGGAACCATTCAGGTCCCTGGTATTGATTTGTTTGGCGAGAATAGAGCTAGGCTTTCTGCGGTTAATTTCGACTGCGAAACAGCTGGTGAAGAAGCCACCAAGATTTGGTATAATCAAGGTAGTAATTACAGCTTCGCTGATCCGCGGCTGAACAGTAATACTGATTCGTTCACTCAAGTTATTTGGAAAGGAACCCGGGATGTTGGAATGGGTTGTGCACAGAGGAAAGGAACTTTAAGCAATGATATTTTTGTTGTTGCTTTGTACTACCCTCCTGGAAATAGTCCACGCGCTCTTCGGGAAAATGTAGTCAGTCCTAATAAAAACGTGAACGATGCATATTCCTCAATATTTCGAAGACGAGATGAGTTATATAAATACAAACGAACACGACTTTTGACTCAGAGGAAAGAAAAGCAGAAGAGCGAGAGACGAAATCGAGCTTGACCTTTGCTTCCTTCTTCCTTTCCCCCCACCCCTAAAAAAACTATGGAAGAGGATAGTGTGAAGAACGCCGTGTGTGCGTGCGCATGAGCGTGCATACAGAGTGACAGCCTTATGGGAACACGTACACGTAAAGTACTGTACATGTCCGTTGTGAAATGGCAGTAAAGTGTCTGGTTTCTTGATGTGATCAACACAACATTTATTCCCACCTGGCGAATACAAGCTAATCCAGACGAGAATGTAGAATTTTAAGGAGTTGATAAAGGAAAATTAGTTGATCGTGAGCAGATCTTATGATTGTCTCGGGAACTTATCCATGTCCAAGTTTGAATTGATTAACTTTCCTTTGTAGTGAATATGCAGACAGTCAACACTGCTGCAATTGTTACAAACCAACACAGCTGAAGTAGATAATCAGTAATAATTGAGTGAAATCTATTTTAAAGGAAATGAAAATAGATAACGCTGACAAAAGTGTACGCCCACTTCTTGCTGGTATTTAACAATATTTTCTTCGCAATGTTTTTGTTAGGGAGCAGGGCTTTATTTTTTATGTATACCAAGCCTCAGCTATACTTCACAAGTATATACTTAAGAAGCATCACTGATTGTCATGGCACCATTAAGAAATATTTAGAAAGCGCCTTATGCAACAATTATGAATAAAGACACTAGTTAATGATAAGAGGATTGGAGCAACATCTAGTAAATAGAATGTATATGGATGCTTGTATCTTTTTTCTTTAACTGATTATAATGATCTCAATTCAAGGCTCTGGGGAAAGATTCTCTCCTCTGACGTTTTGCTGTTATTAACTTTAGCAATGACGTGACAAAGTTAAATGAATGGGGTTAAGTGAAAGTTTTTTCGGCTGATAAATTTTTAATAATCAACATTATGGCGAACACCTTCAATTTGCTTCGCGGAGGTTTTTGAGTTACTTTGCATTCATAACCAACAACGAGAACTGCGATTTGCTATCGGGGTAATGAGGTTGTCTTTTGCATTCTTTTTTTAAGGAAATGCCTGACAAAGACCTCTGGTATGTTAACAGTGTCTTAACTTTTGTGCTTGTCACTTGCTGATAACAGGTCACTGTTTAAACGTTATTTCGCTATTTTCCCATTAGAGTGAAATTGTTGATATAGAGATGATATGTTTCGCAAGGAAGTTTTCGTTTCTTGGACAGTGACTGGGGAAATCTCATACTTTGGCGTAACGATTCTAATGCTTTAAAAACAAGAGTGGTTGCAATAGTTTTTTGTACATCTCTACCAGAAACTAATTGTCTATCTATTCTGGCAGGTAAATTGATTCATTTACATAGAAATTGTTGTGAAGAAAAGTGATAGAAGTACTCATATTTGAAGTAAAGAATCTCCAAACTTCGCATGATCGTCAGCTCGTGTTAATTTCATAGTGATTATAAATTCGCCGGGGAAAATTGAAAATTGTAATCTCCAAACCGGGTTGCAATATTTCCCGACGGACTCTCCATTCAACCGTAAAATTTGTGTTTTTCCAGATTATCAGTTTTCATTCTCCCCTTTTACGCATAGACCAGAAAGCTACTCGAGAAGGTGAACTATTAGTGTATACCTTAGCTAAAACAAAAAAAAAAAAGGGATGTAACAATAGCACATATTTAAAGTGAGTGCAGAGGCTAATTGTTGACATATTCTGTTGGAAATAGTAAGGTGTCCATTGAAATAATGTAGTATCGTCATTTCAATGCCTGCGACTTCAAGGCTATCGATGACTCCCAGCGCTGGTAAAGGAATTGAAGTCACAACCACCTAATAAGTTTGAAGGTGCAAACTAACAGTTATTTCTGTTCAATCAAATCACGTTTGATCTTTTATTTTCACTTGTTGTCAACAGATGTCAATCAGTAAGTTAAGCAATGAAGATGCTGGTAGTTACAAGCGTTCTGATCTGTCTAGCTGCTCTGTGCCTTACAAGAGCCGAAGGTTAGTTATTTTGTTAAACTCCTTAAGCTTTGGGGGTGTTCTAGCACTTGTTCTAATAAAGGTTGAAGTTTTGAGTGTAGTGTCAGAGGTGATCACATGGTCACATGGTTACGCATCACTGCGCTTGACCCAAAGATAGATTATCCACGTGACGACAATAATAATAATAATAATAATAATAATGATAGTAATAATAATAATAATAATGACTTTATTTAAGGAGGGTAACAATGTTGTGCTATGGAAGGTATTCTTGTTATATCAGCGTCGACAAAAATTGTGGAATTGCGAGAATTGTTTATATCAACCATTAGAATAGATATTTTCAAATTTACTCACGGTGGATGGCTGTGCACGCTACTGAAACTGACAAAGAGGGAGAGAACACAATAAAAGAGTGACGCGACTGAAACAAACAGCAAATAGAACATTTTCAAAAGAAATCTCTTTTTCAAGTGGATGACTCTCTTCTCAAAAACTTTTAAAGTTAGTTATCCGTAAAACTCCTTATTCTTTGCAGATGATAAAAATGAATACCAGATGTCGAAAGCATCTAAGAAATCCATTGAACTACAAACTGCTTACGTTTACCGTAAAAATATGCCCAAGAGACATCATTACTCTGGTAAGGAATGAAATACAGTACTGTAAAATGAATTGCTTTCCTTAAAACCAAAGTATTTTCTTTTGTACTGAAACATATCATGATCATTTCTTTGTGTTCTCGTGTCAGTGATCCTTGGAAGCAGTGGTAAAACCGTCATTGGGCCGCTTGTTCCTGAGTCCGACGATGAACAGATCCACAGAGTACAAGGATTTGTACTTAAGCCAGACGCCATCAAGATAGGTTAGTGTTTAAAACACCGCTGTTAAGACCACTTTGCAATATACGGCGAGTCAGAAAAACGTAAAGATCACAGGGGGTCACTAAGTACATATAAGTAGCTGAAATGAGGCACAAGTAAACGTGAGAGACCAATTTAAAAATTTTTAGTTCGGCATCTGATTGGCTCAGGGCATGGCTCAAGGTTTCAAAACCAATCACAGCGTGTACTTATTAAGCAAAAGCTATTCGAACCCAAATTTTTCTAGACTACTTTAGTCTAAAATTGTATTATTCACTGAGTATCCTAATGTGTACACGTATTCTTAAGGCATCCTGGCGAAGCTAGTCTAATTTGTCTTCTTTTCTCTGTTTCAAGGTAACCCCATAGAATTTGCTGGAACAGCTCTAAGCACCCACAATCGCTATCGCAAATATCACCACGACCCTGCACTGAGGTGGTCTGACAGGCTGTCATCGCAGGCGAATAAGATAGCTTATCAAATGGTGCAGCAATTCAGTAAGGAGAACTCCAAGAGATTTGAGGTGCCTGACGAAGAGAGCCTGGGAGAGAATGTGGAACGATTTCTCGGTGTGGAGTTTGGATGCGACTCGACTGCAGCCATGAAAGCAACTGATAACTGGTACCAGGTACGCTTTATGGTTGTTCAATAACAGTGGCACTGTACCTTTATTCAGATGACACCCTCAGTTCTGAAAAATAGTCTCCTCAGTAAAGGTGTCTCCGCAATGAAGGAACTAATACAAAGGAGTAATGGGAGAATTGGTATTTAGTGGGGGACAAAAGTTTCTGTCCCTTGAATAGCGGGGCACGACAAGAAAACTTCCAACATAGATGAAAATGAAAAAAAAGGATATGGATAGTTCGGATTAGAGAAGAATGAGCTACATTGATGAGGATGATACTACTTGAGTTGCGATAGTTGATAGGTGATCATTTCGGTTGAAGACTTATCGGTGTTTTCTTTCTCTTAAGCAAAGCAAAAACTATAGTTACAACTACCCTCACATTCAAGATGGAACTAGCTCCTTTACCCAACTGGTTTGGAAAAGCTCACAGTCCTTTGGTATGGGTTGTGCTCTACGTAAAGGACTCCTGGCCAATGACGTATTTGTGGTGGCTCTGTACAATCCCCCTGGGAACGTAGGGGACGGGGTGTCTCTGAATGTCTTGAGGCCTGGGATCAAAGAGGCGGCCAAGCCTGATGTGTACTCAAATATATTTCGTAGAAACAAAATGACTAAGAGTAGAGACAGCATAAACCGTAAAAAGTAGATTATAAACTACTACCTAAAAGAATGCTAAGTGATATCCTAAAGTTTTTATCAAGAAAAAGTATCCAAATGAATTCCTTTGTAAAAGTACGAACCAGTTGTTTGTAAATCTAAAATTGTCGGATTGGGCCCCTGTAAATTTATATCTACCTTAATTAGTTGAAGTGTTTCTTTACGCCATGCTTATCGTGCCTGTTTGCGATGCTGTGGTAAGTAGGTGCGCTAAATCACAAAATTTTTGTGATCACCCTTGCTATTAAGAATATTTTTTTGAAATAGCACCCAGCTTATTACATGTATTTAATAGCCCTTCAAACGGATCAATATCCAATGCTGTCTTGTGACCAACTGACAATCCAACATTTACAAAGGATAATTTATGCCTGTCTATCGGGCCTGAGGGGGGTGAAGAAGACAGAAAAATAAAACTGTTATTGGTTCTAATGAACTAATCTATGATACAGTTCCGTTGATTTATCTGCGTTTCGGCTGCAGGCGACTACCATTAAGTAAGCATGCGTCTTCAGCCCTAAGAATTAAAACTAAACCGGAAGTAACTTAACCGTAAAGAAGCGTCATAAAAAGACATCCTTGCTGAAACAAAGGGTTGGCGAATAATTTTCCTTTTACCCCAAGGAAAGTGCTTCCATTTTAGTAAACGAGATATTTAAAAAATTTGATAATATCCGAGAAGAAAATTGCTTCTCCGTGGCCGTGTACACTGCTCGACCGGCCGGCTAAACACCTGTTGGACACCAGTTGGGTAAGATGAATACAAACCGTTTATGACTTCAAACCAAAGCATGCAACCAGACACGACTGTAATTAAAGCATAGGCCTTTTTATGTCATGGAAAACTAAATGGTGAATGTCAAGTGTGAGTTTGAGCGGGAAATTGTCACTTGATCTTCATCTCTCTCTGGTCAAAGAGGCGATGAGGCCACTACATCTATCACTTCTTAAAATAGCATCATTGTTCATGGCTGACCTAAGAGAACATAATCCCAACATGGTAGAAAGTTTTGCATCGTGTATCCAAACTCAGTCGAGTGGATGCTGATTGCACAACACTCCCATTGTCTCGCTAGTAACATCTCAGTCAGCGGGGGTAATGGCCACTCAGATCAACACTGTAACGGCGAGTTTGATAGGTCTGATGATGTTTTTTTTATTCACTGCTGAGATATATTATTACTATGGTCATCATATCAAGCTCGTTATTTCGAGAAGATCACTCGAGAAAGGTAAAGAATTGACGCATTTGGAAGTCAAATTCCCTAAAAACTACCACGCTACCGGGAGACTCTTTCTCCCTCACAGTAAGATCGTGGAGCCGTTTGAAATTTGGTTTACTTCAGAATTTAACAGAAGTCGAATTGACTACTATTACGGTACGTGATAAAATAACATGTTCATATAACACTTGGTTTACCTACTTACTCTTCGATATAGCTTCTGGACCTAATACGAAAACTGTTGATGATAGATTGATCTATAAGTGTGTGGTTCATTTTTTGTCTTAATACTGTTTGAGTGAGTAGGGTGGGCGGGGTCCGCGAGTGAACTTAAGTTTTACTTCACCTGTCAAACCACTGAGATAATAGACTACACTCCTCCATGGATACCAGAATCTACCTGTGATATTTTGGAATTTCAGAGGGCTATTAGAGTTTTCCACCAAGTGAGTTTTAGAAATAACCTCAGACACACTAGGAAAAAATTGCGCGCTTGGCTCATCACACTTCAGCTTGAAACGCAAAAAGTGACCACTTGCTTTGGTTTTTCTCAGACGTGATCGGTCCATTATTCTGTGTGGAACTACATATATATCCTAGGCCACATTCCATACTACCAGTAACTGATACAAGAGAGCTGCAATGACAAGGCACTAATTTGGATGTAAAACCACACGCCTTCCTAGAACCCCTAACAACGGGAAAAATGATTACCAACTTCTTATACGTGTTGCTGTTGTTTTTTTCTATGCTTTAAAGGCACGGACAAGACATACCAAAGGGCAGACCTTGGCGAGTATGGAGTGACATTCAAAGTAGTACCAATGTACACAGAGAGAGATGGTAATTATATCGGCTGCTGGAAGCTGGAGGGACACAAAGGATGGCCGATTATACCACAACCTATTGTACCAAACATGACCTACTTTACGGTTAGACTCTTCAAAACCAATATGAAACGAATGCCATGCGTGTTGCTCAGCGCTCTATTCTCTCAGTACTCAAACGCAAGATTTCCAGTGGGAAGTTTATAAAGTATTCTCCGATAACGGGTGTTTCGATATGATACGAGAGTTGTTTTAGTGACACAAAACATGTTGCTCTTCAAAGTTTTCACGGCACCTTGTCTATACTAGGAAGAGCTAGTAAGCTCAATCATAAGCAAGTTCCAGTGTTTGACTGCAATCACTATAACATCGTTACGGTGGCCAATTTACCTCTTCAACTTCGTTGATATATCCAAATTATATGCAATCACTATAACCTGGCTCTTTTACAACAACATTTGACTGATCTCTTTTCCCCACAGTACGCGGGCGAGGAAGTTTACATGGGCACGCCTGTCACCAAGTGGGAATACCGCTACCTCGTGTTTGACATGCTGAATACTCACACTCTCCTGGTCAGCAAGATCGGCCCAGTCCGTCCCGTGCGGTATGAGATGAAGGGTTATGACAGTCTTATGGCGAGTTACTATGATAACTATGTGTTGGAGTACATCTCATTTGAAGAATGGAAACCTGACTTGGAAAAGTTTGAGTTACCAAAAGGTCAGTTAGTGTTTAGATCCTGCAGTCTATGATCATCTTTATCTTCCTCTTGATTGATCAGTTGATATGTATTCAATTATATCGTTTAATGCATCAGTAATCTCCC